TTATCTGGGTGATTAAATTAACATTAAGAGTGATAAAGCATGTTGGTAATAAATACCTTTGGTATAATGTCATGGAAATATAACTTACTCTGGGGTCTTAATCCCCAAAACCCACAATGCCAGCCTAATTATGACAAAAAACATCAGAGAGAGCCCAGGCGAGAGATCCCAATGTCACCAAAACAAAGTAAGTATGAGAAACTGGCAAAAGAACCCTAAGGAGAAAGAACAGCTAAATATGATCTGGGAGGCTGGATGGGAACCCAGAACATAAAATGGACATTAAGTGAAAAAGAGGACCTTTGATTAATTATGGATGTTAGTGAATAATAATGTGTAATATTGGTCCATTAATTGTAATAATGTCCCAACCAATGTAATGGTTTGATCAGAGGGACACTGTGTGTTGGGTATATATTAACTCTTTGTGTGTCTAACTATTCTGTGAATCCAAAACCATTCTTAAAAAAAAAGCTTACTTTTTAAAATTCACTGAACTTAATATGACAAATATTGTCAACACTGTTGATGCCCCATGTCTGAATCACTTTTTTACCCTGGTAAAGTTTATTATTATTTTCAATTTTCTTTTTGCTATTCCCAAATTTTTCCTTATTAGTGTTTTTCTATAAATTTGCATTTGCAAATAATATTCAGTGTTTCTGGCTTTCATACTTAGATAATTCTATGTTTATATCTATATTTCTCATCAAGTTATAATGAACTTCCAGACAACAAAGAATGTAATATATCATACAGAATATGTTCCATGTTTTCTTCACAAAGGTCAAGGTCATGCAAAATGAGTGAAGCCTGGGAAAGTGTTGCAGATTGGACAGGACCTAATATGACTGGTACATTCCAAGATGGTGGGCAATGTTCCTCCCATCTTTGTGTACACATCTCATATTCTAGTCCTTTCTCTGTGTGAGCAGTCAGATACTCCGATTGCTTTGATAGACTATTACAAGGTGATGGGATGTCATTTGAGGGATTATGCTGCATATAACTGTGATTTCTGTCTTGCTGCAAACTCTCTCCCTTGGTGGTTTTGATAAAGCCTTATGCATGAGGGAGATGCCAGCATGAGTAGAAACTGAGTGAAGTCTGAGTCTAATAGTCAGCAAGGAACTGAGGCCCTTCATCCAACTGCCTGGCCTAGACTTTGCAATTTACACTTACAACTAATCCAAGTCTCCTTTCAAATAACAGTATATCACGTTTGAGGTAATGTGACTACCTTATAATAACAAAACAATGATAGTTATTTCCTCCTGCTTCTTGCATCTTTCCTGTCATTCATTTCACATATATAGCACACATTACCCATGTTCATGTATCTCTGGCTTGCAAGCAACCTATCCTGGGACTTCTTAACTTCCGTAATCATGTGAGCCAACCCCCTAACAAGTCCTCTTTTCTCTCTATATATATTCTTCTCTATCCATCTTTCTATATTGCATTCATTCTATCTCTCTAGAAAACCCTGGTTAATATACTAATAAATGCTTCAGCTCACTGGTTGCTCATTCTGCCTCTCTCTTTGCTCCACCCAACTGCTGGATGTGAGTGTGTGTCCAGGACAGCTCTACACTTCCCAGTGACTTGCTGAAGAATGCTGCTCTCTTCTTGCTGGGATCTGTGAATAATGAACTGCTTCTGTTATTTCATGAATTTTGTTGAGTTGCCTTCTCTGTGTCTTTCCTGACCAATATACCTGAACCTAACTTTCCCATTCAGAGTTATCTTAGAGAGTGGTTCTCTTGATAGGAATAAACTGGATATATGTCAGGCAAAAGCCACAAGGGCATCTGGTAATAAAAAAATATGTGAGTAGGAAACCTGGTTACAAGTCAAATACTGAGGCATTAGGCCATTGCCAGTATAGAGAAATACGCCATGGAAAGAACTTTGTAAATATCCTGGGGAGAAATCCCTGAAGGCCCATTGGACAGGGCTGTTTTGTAATCGCTGGCAGAGAGGGATGTCAAAAGCACACAGCCAAGAGTTATATGAAAGTGTGCACCAGAGTGGTAGCTCTCTAAAGACACAGAAATCTGTTATCTTGATAATCCCTGCCCTAATGGTCCCTATAAACTTAATTCCATAAGGAATTCTTCAATTTGGAACTTTTTTTCTTCTTTTTTTTTTTTTTTGAGACAGATTCTCACTCTGTCACCAGGCTGGAGTTTAGTGGCGTGATCTCAGCTCACTGCAACCTACCAGGTTTAAGCAATTCTCCTGCCTCAGCTTCCCAAGTAGCTGGGACTACGTAGAGGCACACACCACCATGCCCAGCTAATATTTGTATTTTTAATAGAGACAGGTTTTCACCATGTTGGCCAGGATGGTCTTGATCTCTTGACCTTGTGATCCAGCCACCTTGGCCTCCCAAAGTGCTGGGATTACAGGTGTGAGCCACTGTGCCTGGCCAATCCAGAACATTTTTATATTGCCTTTCCTTCTTAATCATTCTTCTTTTTAATCATTTGGGTAATTATCATACAAATCGCTTTATGATTAGTTACTGCAGATGGAGATGCATTTAGGTTTTATACAGTGTTTTGCTCTGCTCAGTTGTTTCTTTGGTCAAGTATATTTTGAGGTACTTGGAAGAAAAATAATGGGCTTTGGTGTTTCCCAAAGAACAGAGTGAATAAAGAAACTTATCTAATTTACAATTGAAATGTTGAAAGGATTTCTACCCAGAATTTCAGATTCCAGGGACACTAACTTAAGATAACAATAAGCCTTTGCTTTGCCCTTTCCCTGTAGTAGCCTAGGCAGGCAGGCAGGCAGATAGATACAAGTCCTGATCTAAAGCATATGAGCAATGTCTCCGCTGAACTCTATCCTGTTTCCAGGATGCAGTGTGGAGAAAGGGGAGTGAGTTCTTGCCTCATGATGTGGTCTAAGACTATGGAATGTTTGCAATAAGTCTTTCAGAGAATTCTGGTGGCCAGACCAACCTGTCTAAAATCTCCTCATAGGTAGTTTAGGTAGTTTACCAGGTTTTGGGAAATCATATCTCCCATGCTATCAGAGAGTGTGCTTGGGGAAGCATTGCTCAGCACTGTGACTTGTATCCTGTGACATCATGTTATACAGTTTTGAGTCTGTCACCTGCTACCTCTCAACCAGAGGATTCAGAGTTCACTGACCCTCAATTCGCACTAAGAAATAAGACCCTCCTTGTCTACATCCACTTCTGTCTCCAACATGGCCTGAAACTCTACCTCATTTCCCCTGAATATTTGGGTGAAGAATGCTATTTGTGAGTACATCATGATAACTACAATTTATGCATGGAAATGAAATGAAAAAAGGTTTAATTAAAGTAACTTAGCATATAATCACTCTTGTTATAATGAATTGACATGAATAACTTGTTATTTTTAAGTAACAAATTTATATTAGACCACCCTTTTTCATGGAGTACAGTGTGATCTTCAAGGGATGAGAGGGTCTCTTGAATTACAAATGCCCAGAATAACAGCAACTAATTATCTGCTATCCTAATCTCAAAGATAAGAAATGTGTTCCAGGTCAGCTGCATCTCTCACTCCAGGTCTCCAGGCTACAGGAACTAGTTTTCTCACTGAAGCACTGAAGCCATGCATGTAAACATGTAAAGCAGAGGATATACCCCACCACTATGGACCATAAAAGCAAGAGTCTTAACTTTGTGGATGTCTACTGTATGCTTACAGGCTGGGTTCCTATAAACAACCGTGCTGTTAACTGGCAGCGTGCTGTGTCTTGTGCAGGGAGCTGGGTGGCACATAAGTGGACAGTCCTCTCTGTTTTGGGATTCCTTGTTTATCCAGCATACATGGAGAGTCATCTTTCAGCCTGTGTCCAATTTTCTTATCTTAGCAAGATGAGTTATAGATATATTATATCATGTTGCTACTTTGCTGTTTTTAACAGGTACTCTCTAGCTCTGTTCTTCACATTCCAAATCAAATATATGCGTTCACCTTTAAAAATCTGCTTACTAAAATTCCATTTCTAGGTCTGTGTAAGCAAGGGCTGGCCTAAATATACATGTTGATAAACTTTTTTTTTTTGTACCATAGTAACCTGGTATCATGAAAGTAACTATGCTGTGACTTTGGGGCTTGATAATTGGTAATATAATTTCAAGGTAATTGTCCACAGAATATAAGGTACCAAAGAATTCATGATGGTGTCTGGGCAATGAGTATGACTTAATTACCAGTGAGATTTTCAAAACCTTGAAGGAACGTTTGTCTTTTCAAAATGTGAAAAGTGAAACTCTGTATGCTCTATACCATTCATAAGCTCTCAAAAACCAAAAATATGATTTTTATTCCCTGGCACTGACATCTGTCAGTCTTGGCTGGTAATTTTCAGAAGGCATATACTCCAAAAAATCTTTGTTGGGGTTATCAGAAACATTGCCAAATGGTATCAAATGGGGCTTTCTGAAACAGGTGAAGCAGAAATGGGCATAAGTTTAAAGGCATGGCTATGACACTGAATCTGGTGACTGGGTAATGGAGAGTGTGACAGGAAGACGAGAGTTCCTGGAGCTTGATGGTGCCTTCCTGAAGCAGGTGCTCCTGCACTGAAGTTGGGGACTATATGGGAAGCTGCTTTGCCTTTCTCTCCCCACACATTCATTCATCCTTTGAAGTTAAGGTGTTTTTTTTTTATGTCTGTGTTGTTTTTATAATAGCAAGATAATGATGTTTTAAAATTATATTCAGTTATTTTAGATGTATTGAAAGTGGCAAAGATAATTCATACCTGAAGTATAGGCTTGTTCAGATTTTACCAGGTTTCCACTAATGTCATTTATTCCATGACCTAATCCAGGATTCTACATGACACTTACCACAAGGTTTATTCCTTATTTCTTGCTAAACAACAAATTACTTCATAGCTTTGTAGCCAAAGCAATGCATGCATTACTCACAGTCTCTCTGGATCAGGAACCCAATGTAGATGATGCCTAAGGCAAAGGTCTCACTTACAGGGTCATCTGGGGAAGGACCCATGTCCAAGCTTCTGTTGGTTATTGGATGTCCAGTTCAAGGTTTCTTCATTGGTAAGTTATTTCAAGCCTTTAAGAAATAATAATAATCCTTCATAAACGTCTTGTCCAAGATACTAAAAATGACAGAAGAGATCATTGCCCAATTTATTCCATCAGGCAGTTTACCCTGATCCTACAACTAGACAAACACATTTTAGGAAAGGAGAATTACAGACTACTGTGGCTTATGATTATGGAGGGAAAAATCATCAATAAAATAATATGAAAACAAGTCAGCAACATAAAATAGGACTACAGACTAGAACTGAGGACATTTATCTCAACATCAAAAGTTTGGTAAAACACATTAAAACAATGAGTAAAATATAGTATATTAAGAGCAAAAAAACCAGCAGGATCACTTCCAAAGTTACAGAATAAGCATGTGACCTGCCTCACTACTTCTTGCTTACTTCCCAATAAATTCCTTTCCTCTCTCAATTTGAAGAGAATTTGAACTTTAAAATGAATGGGTTTTTTTTTGCTCTCTTTTATTCTCAGGACAGGATGTGAACTCTGACTTTTCCCTCAGCCTCTTTTCCTGCCTCACATTCTCAAATCTTTGAAAAATCATCTCATAGACCCTGCTGCTTCTGCCTCCTCTGTGCTACTTTTATCATTCTATTTTAGATGGTTTCATCCTCTTAAACTAAAAAGAAAATCTTGCTCAGCATGTTTCAGGCCTGTTAATATGGCTCCCTTGATAAAAATTTCCAATTTTTATTTATTTACTATATTTCACACATTTTAAAATGTTTCTTTTTCAAGTTTTATCACAATCATTGTAAACCATGAGAAAGCACAATATGGCTTTAACTGTCCACACAGAGGCAACATATTTTGAAATCTGCTATCACATTCTGCTAAGATCATCTGAATCAAAATAGAATGGGTGTCAATAGGAAATGTGAAGATCACAATGGTTCAGCCTTTTATTAAATGCTTCATTGCATAAGTTTTCATGCAACAGTCATAATGTATCTATGACTCTGGGTCAAAATATAATTCAGAAAAATCAAACATAATATCAAGATATACATGAATCAGTCTATGAATATTGATATTGTTTTCATTTTTATGTAAATAAAACTTATGCTTTCAAAATCCCAAAAGGCTTTATAAGTATCAATAAGTTTATAATGTGTATGATAGTTAATTGACAGAGATATTACCCTTTCTTTAAGATCCTTCTTAAATCTTTGATTCAGTGACATATAATGGATTCCCCACCACAAGACTTCTTCAGACATTGTGCACTGGCCAATTGTGATCTTCCATTTAGTGATACCAAAAGAAAATTCATGTGTTTGTCTTTTTCTGTGTTAGACTAAATTTTTTTCTTATTCACGTTAATATTGTTAACTAGAACCATATGGACCCAATACAGTAATGATTGAGCAATGGCAGGATAAGTGAAACAAGATGCTATCAAAAAAACCCTGCATGTCTTGGATATTATATTTGGATAAAACACTCAAACCATCCTTTTTATTTGCTCTTACACCACCACAGTAACAACCATCAACACAAAAGGCTTCTGTGAATACTTGTGTGGGGCTTCCTACCCACTTCCAAGAGAGCAACTAATTCTGCAGCTGATACCAACTAGGTGTCCTCCAAATCAATTCCAGCACTACCTACCTGGATATAGTACATGATTCCACAAGTTGATAGGGCAGTCTATAAGACTGTCCCATCCCTTCAGCCACCAGTCACAAGTCTGGAATTCAAGAACTTTTGACCCACTGGCTTCAAGTTGGGGTTCCCGTAACCTATTCTGTAGGTTTAATTTTCTTGGGCAGCTCACAAAACTCGGGGAAACACTTATATTTAACAATTTACTATAAAGGATATAGCAAAAGATACAGATGAAGAGATTCATAGGGAATGGTAGGGGACAGCAAGCATGGAGCTCTTTGCTCCTTCTGTTTGCACCACCTTCCAGGAACTTCCATGTATTTGGTTCTCCAGAAGCTCCCTGAATCCAGTCCTCATGAATTTTTATGGAAGCTTCATGACATCAGCATTTATTACCTAGAGTAAGAGGTGGGACCACTCTGGAATGAGGGTCTTATGACTTATGAACAGAAAGGCAAGCTAAGACAAGAATCCTGCTTTGGAGAAGGTGAAAGGAATGCATGAGAAGGTCAGAGATTTTGTTTCCTGATGTCTGATTCTGAGCCCTAACACATCTAACATTATAACACAATGCTGTAACAAGGGCTATGGCATCATAAGCCAGGACATGAGAATGAAAATCAAAATATGACTTTATTTATGTATATATATCACAGGCTATCACATGGAAAAACAAAAAAATGAAGAAATATTAAACAATTGCTTCCAAGAAAATGAACATGAAGCAGTGAAGGACAGTGATACCTGAGAGATGCAAAACACTGATGTGAGGGTTACTATTGCCACAGGCTTTGCTTTGGGAGAGTTTCCAGGGTGTGCAGTATAAATTTTGAAAGACCCCCGAGTTGAGAAGATGGAACTGAGAGTCTAGAGAACAAGGTGGCTGAATTTCATGAAGCTATTCTCCATGTCCATTGGTAAGAACAGAAGAGAATATTCTTGCCAACACCCATGCAGGCTGAGCAGTGTTGCTTTCATTACTCCACTGAGACGTGGGTCACAGAAGTATAGGAGCCATACAGAAACAATAGTATATACACAGAGAAGCCATTTGAATGAACTTGTTTTTCAATCCTTTCATTGTATTCCTGCCTGCAAAAAGAAGCCTTTACATAACACAACCATCTTGTAATAAGCCCAAGGATGACAGGATATGCCAAGTTACCAAGAGATGAAGTAAGTGTCACATACAAATAAGCGTAACCACCTGATGTGGATGGCAACCTGCTTTTCCTCAGTTACCTTGTCACTTGTATCTCCTATATTATACAATAATGTAGGTAGATCTTTCTACTTATATAAGCAGAACAAAATTATCAACACAAGAATGAGAAACCAATAAAGACATTCACCTCTATTTGTTTTCCTAAACACCTTCAGTTCCTTTAAACTTGGGAAGTGATTTGTTTCTCTTCTTCTCTACATAAATGTCACAGTCTAAGTAGTTGGCATGGAAGATAGGATTGCTCTTTGCATTCAGAGAAATTAAGGTAAACAGTACCAGGTTGTAATACAGTAAATGAGAAGTTTTTTTAAACCTATAGTTGGCATTGAATTTCTCTGTGTACGGTACTAAAGACCAAAGACCCTGGCTCTAGCTATACTTGGCAAAACCAATGCTCATCTATTAATTTGACATAAGTAACCATAAATATAATGGTTTTACACTGTGGTTGTTTGAAAAAAAATTTTGTGGGCCCCTTCAAGCTGGGAACTGCTCATGGCAAATATGCCTCCCATTATATTCAAAGTCATCCCTGTGCTCAGAGATAGATGCATATTCCAATTGCCTTATTTGGAAAGACTTATCAGAAACTCAAAAGAATGCAAACATTTGTCTCTCATCAACCTGTGACCTAGAAGCCCCTGATGGGCGTGGGGTAGGGCTTGCTTTGCATTGTCCCCACCTTTCTGGATGGAACCAATGTAGTTCTTACATATATTGATTGATGTCTCATGTCTCCCTAAAATGTATAAAATTAAGCTGTGCCCCAACCACCTTGGGCACATGTTGTCAGAACTTCCTGGGGCTATGTCATGGGAGTGTCCTCAACATTGGCAAAATAAAGTTTCTAAATTAACTGAGACCTGTCTCAGATTTTCTGGGTTCACATTTTGGTATCCAGAGGGCGATTCTGAATGGAGATGCCCCTGATCTTTGACAAATCTCCTGTCAGTGCTCACTGATCATACTGTTGGGTTTTCTGGTCACCGTTTGTTCCCATGTGAAGTTGTGTTTAAGGACCCCGATTCTAGTTCGGATATGCATTCTAAAGGGTCTTCTCTATTGCTTTTCCTCCCAAATTTAATTTTAGTTTGGGTTGTCTGTGTGTAATTTTGTGAAGAACTAAATTGTTGTTTTCAAATGTTAACCAGAGACTGAGTTTTCTCAGCTCAAATGAAACAGGGTATTTTTCCTCCTCCCAGCTGAAAGGTGCCCCTAGGTAACTGGGGGCCTCATAGGAGTGTCTGGGGGGTTTACACCCTTTGACATGCTTTGCAGCTGCCCTGCAGGAAAATCCCCATCAAAACTTAATTTTAACAATGGTTTGTCCAGGAAATACATCTAATGGCTGATCACCCAGTGTTTTGAGCCCTCTCTGAAGTCATAAACCTTGGGAGAGAGAAACTGAGACATGTAAAAGGGTGGAAGCAACTCAGTGGTGACACACTGTGGAGTACTGCCTACAAGCAGCACATATTGATCTGCCATATAAAAAACCCCAGACCACAAGCTGTTCCTCCTTTTAAGAAAAAAAGAAGTGAGGAAAAATATAAGAGAAGAAAACAAAGAGAATGACCTCCCTTTGGGTACTCGGTAGGTTTTATGGCACCTCTACCTGCCAAAGTTTATGTAAAATGAAAATAATATGGTATTTGTGCACATTTAGATTAAGGAAAAAGAGCCCTAAGGCCAACTTGCAAACTATAGAGTTCTGAAGTCCTCTTTTTCTCTATTTTTTTTAAACTATAGAGTACCCAAGTCATCATCTTCTCTATTTTTTCTTTTCTGCCTGCTCTAACTTTGCTGTTATTTTTCTATTAAGATAAAAACCACTGTTTCAATCCAACAAGTTCTTTTTGTAAGCCAGTAAATTTGTATTTATCTCATGGCTAGTAGTTCTGAAGTAAAAGCTATAAGATCTTTGTGTGTGTGTGCATGTGTGTGTATGTGTATATATTTGAAAGACCTTTATAATTTCTATAATCCAAACTTTTTCTCGCCACAATGTATAACGTAAATCTTCCTATTTGACTTTCACCTGAGTTGCTTCCTTAAATATGAAAATTTAAGGCTATTTTGCTAACAACTGCCCATGGTTGTAAAACAGGTTATCAGGAATCTAAAAGTCTAAGATAGGGAAAAAAAGGTTTTTATGAGGCCAGGCA